CAATGGAGTCCATACTTAATTTCTGAGGCAGTTTTAAGACGACTGTTCTAGATCCTCGTCAGATAAACCCAGCACCTGTTCTTTTGTTTGTTTGTTTGTTTGTTTGTTTGCAACACAAAACCATAGGATCAAGGCTACCTTCTCAGCTGTCACCTTGTTTGAACAGTTTCTTTTACTTCAAATGTTATCTCAAATGCTTCACTATACACAAGAGACTCCGACATGGGCCTTATCATTGCATTCCCCTAATAAAGAAATAGAGACGTCCAGAATATAGTGGAGCCAGAATTTGAAAAGGGGTCTTCTGATCCCAAGTATAAGTACAAGTTCATTATGGTTTAAGTTTGGTTAAAGATCTTCAATTCTCCAAAATCTTAATCACAAGGTGAAATGAAGGACAGCCCAGGACACCAGTACCAAGCTCTCAGCCCAAAGGAGAGCTGTTTGCCTCAGAGGGACAAAGGGCAGGGAATAAGAGACAAAGACGGGAGATAGAGGATGAGGGAGAAGGGGACGGGAACGAGGTATAGGGAGGAAGGGATATTGCCCCGAGGGAGAAAGGACTACCTCTGGTTCGAGAGAAGACAGATGTGGCCCTTAGGTGAATGGCAGTTTATAAAGGGAAAGGGGGTGTCTGTGTTAGAATGAGTTGGTTTGTTTTGGCTGAGCATGTTAATTCTGAATAGTCAAAATGGGGCTTTTGATTGCTGGACTTCAATACTTCGATAGCTGGACCTTGGTGATCAGCCTCAGGAGGAGGAAGTGGCCAAATAAGGAAATAGACTTTGGTGGCTAGCTTCAGGAATGCAACCTAACAATTTAGCAAGACAGAGGGAACAGGGAAAGGGGCAAGACCTGCCAGAGCCACATTTGGCATGTTCAGGCCCACTAGAGGCCTTCATAATGTATGGGATTCAACAAATTGACAAGGGTCAATACCTCCTCTTTGTCCTACAGTTTGTATATAAACAGCATCCTCACTACTGTAAAGATCTGATGATAAGACTTGTGCTCTAGATTCACTTCAGTTACTGTGACAAAAGCAACTGGGGAGGAGAGTTTATTTGGATTATAAGTCCAGGCTGAGCCCATCACTTGGGGGACATTAACTCAAACAATTAGTCACATCACATTCGCAGTAAGCACAGAGAAAAACGAAACACACAGATCCTTGTCTGACCTCCTGGCTGGGGAGTGGCGCCCAGTACAGTGGGTTGTATCTTCTCACATCAATCAACAATCAAGACAATCCCTCACAGACATGCCCACAGCGTTACCTAATTTAGATAATTCCTCAGTAAGATTGTCTTCCCAGATAACTCTATGTTGTGTCAAGTTGACAGTTGAAATTAACCAGCACAACTTAACTCATAGTTATGGAAAATCAGCACAAGGCTCTTATATAAGCCAGCCTGTATCAGGTCTTAATTAACTGAAGAAACCTGAGGAAAGAAAGGAAAGGGAGAGGGAAGGCACCCAGGGTGAAGGCATTCCAGAATTTCAAATGGCATGATGGTCCACTGGGAGGCTGACTATATTCAGAGTCCTTGGCCCCAGGCAGATGCTGGCTGAGGTGATGTATGGTCCTATGTACTGTGGGAGAACCAGTCTCATGATAGACCCAGTGGTAGGGCAAGAGACATTCAGACCTGATAAATCCAGAATCTCTCACAGGCCTTTGGATCTATGAGGCAATGTATCGTGTTTAATACTGAAATTAAAGCATCAAGCTGGGTGTGGTGGTACAACCTATACTCCCAGGATCTGGGATACTGAAGCAGGATGACTTCCATGAGTTGGAAGCCAGCCTACCCTATACCAAAGGAAAGGAAGGGGACAAAATTGAAATTAACGTTTGTGGCAAGGGTTAAGTCTAAGTAAGTATTTTGGATTTCTTGTGTACCTGCTATGCATAGTTCTCTCTGGATAATATGGTAGAATTCGTAGACACAAAAGAGATAGAGGACCACTGGTCTTTTGCTCTTAGGTTCAAATTCATTTTCTTTCAGTTGCAAAATAAAGTTGCGACAGGTTTCAATTCACTTTGTTTAGGATCCTAATTGCAGCACTCTCACACAGAACAAGATTATCAGCTGAAGTCATTTAGGTCATAATAAAAGGGAGGAAAGTATCCGCCAAGCCAACTTTCATTTCTAACAACACAGAGCAAGCAGAAAAAGTCGCTATTGGAGAAGAGAATCCATAGCAAATTAGAGTTGGCTACCATGCTATTTTCTTTCCAAGTGTTATTTCATCTATGGCCGACACTGTCTCAAATTTCTTTGTCCTGTTTTTTTTTTCTTTCTTTCTGACCAGACAAAAGAAGTTTAAAAATGACCCAGCTCCAAACTCAATTTACTCAGAAGCAACACTTGCCTGAAATGACCTTTCTAACAGGTGACTCCAATTGTGCCTTCCATGTGGGAACCACTAATCAAAAGTCTCCCATCAAAGAAAAGCCCAGGATCAAAGAACTGCTTGGTGGAATTCTATCAAACACTTAGATAAGGAAACACCATACGGTATAAGAACACATGTGTACTTCATTGTGTAGGAAGGGATCTATGCACACACTCTATGTTAAGCTTCCTTCTGAATATCCTCCAAACAACTGGCTCAGGAGAAATGCAAAACTCGGGGCACTGGTGTCCCGGACCCTTCACCTGCACTGGAGAGGAGATGATATGGAGAAATACTATATACTATAATCTCAGAGACAGGAGAGGGCCTGACCAGAGGGGAATGCTTACTATTCAGAACCACTGACTCCCCTTGGTTCCCCTTTGTTTGTAATTATCTGATTAAAGATCACTCCTAACCAAGAAGCTGTCTGCAATGGATATCCCTTGCAAAAGAAAAACTTAGTTTTTGCCGATGGAATCTGACTGAATATATGAACCACAGCTCAGAGCAGCCCCCATACCCAGGAGTGGCTGGCCAACACAAAACAAACTCAAGAGCAGATCGCTACACTTTCTGTCCAGTTCTGCTGTGTTCAGGCATTCTTCGTCTTATTGGTGTCTGGCTTGTTCATTTTGATTTTCATTTTTTGTATTTTTGGGGTGTGTGTGTGTGTGTGTGTGTGTGTGTGTGTGTGTGTGTGTGTGTGTGTGTGTTTCTGGGTTTTGTTTGTTTTTAAAGCAAAAGAGAAAGAAAAATTATAAACTTGGGTGGGTAAGGAGGTGGGGAGGACCTGGGAGGAATTGGCGAGGAAAAAACATGATCTAATCTATTATATGAAACTTCTTTCAGCACAAAGTTTAATAAAAGAAAGAAATATCAAAGAGATAGATATTTAGGTTAATAATCTGCTCTCTTCTCAGCTTGCAGGTTCTCCAAATAAATGACAACTTGAAGATTCAGTTCCTGGTTTTGCCTATGGTGATGGGAAGCAGGGTGACTTACAGTTTCAGAATAATAATTCTCAAATGGTTCCAAAAAGTTGGATTGGGAATTCTTCTAAAAAGACACTGGGGTTCAATATTTTTTCATGGACATAGACACAATGTCACAGGCCTACAATCCCAACTACTCAGGAAAATGAAGCAGCAGGATTGCAGATTTAAGGCTTGCCTGCAGAGTGAGTTCAAGGGCAGCCTGAACAACTTAGCATGAGATTCTATACCAAATTAAAAACTTTTTAAAGGGGCTGGAGATAGAGCCCAGTGGGGAAATTGATGCCTAGTCTAAAAAGCAAGGCCTGCTTTCAATACCTACTATTACAAAAAGGAAAGGAAAGAAAATATTCATCACGATCACCTTGAAAAAAATCTCAAACTTCATAAGGAACCACAAAAACAACCAAAGGAAAAAACCTAAAACAGCCAACACAACTGCAAACAACATGAACAAAGAAAAGTGATTCACTCCCTGGTTTCAAAGCACATCACACAAAGCAGTAACTCTCTAAGCAGAATGCTACTGGCTTAAATACGGACATCTGAGCCAGTTTATTGAAATATATAGGCTAGAAACAGACCTACACAAGTCCAGCCAACTGAGCCTTTGACAAAGGTAGTTAGAATTTGCATTGGGGATGACAGAAATTGATAGGCAGTGCTGGGGAAACTGGAGACACACGTGGATGAGAGCAGAGCAGAAGGAGAATTTATGTTTCAACAGTTGCACAAGGTGTCTGCAAACAGCTTAAAGACTTTGGTTATGAAACCACTAGAAGAAAACACAGGAAATGCTTCAGGACATGGAATTGGAAAAAATGTGTACAATCTCAAAAGCACAGGGGGAAAAATGCAAACAAGACTAGTGAAATTGCATCAAAGTAAAAATATTTTTGCACTGCAAAGAAGATGATCTTCAAAATGACGAAGAGCCATCCTGCAGAGTTGGGTATAGTACATGCAAAGCTTCCTTCTGGTCAGGGTTTAGCACCCAGAATCTATAAGGAACTCAGTCAAACAGCAAAATAACAACAATCTTGTTAAAATTGGGCAAAAAAAAAACAAAACACCTTAAATAGACATTTTAAAAAACATGTACAAATGGCTAGCAGGTACATGAATAAGAGCTCAGATTCCCTAACGACCAGGGAAATGCAAATGAAAACCACAGTGAGGGATGTCCTCATTACGTTTTGAATGACTCTTACCAATCGTGTGTGGAGAAGCAAGCTTTGCACAGCTCTTATTGGGAATAAATTAGCGCAGCCATTATGCAGCATGGAGGTCCCTCTACAGAACAGAATAGACTGCCGTATGATCCAGCCGTGCAAGGGAAAGCCAAAGGAAATGATGTGGCCAAGGGAAATTAAATCAGTGTGTTGGGGAGACCGTTGCATCCTTGTGTGTTCTGACGCCCTGTGCACAACAGCTAAGTGGTAGACTCCACCTAGATGAAAAAAAAAATAGGTAAAGGAGCAATGGAGTGTGTCTGCCATGAAAGCAATGCAATCTTGTCATTTTCAACCACACGGGTGGAAGTAGACATGACTATGTTAAGTGAAATATGTCCTGCACAGAAACGCAGCTCACGGTCTCACTGACCTGTGGAAAGTGCTGCTCTCACAGCAGGTGACAGTAGTGTGTGGATCACCAGAGACTTGGGACAGCGGGGCCTGGGAATGGGGAAAGACATGTCAGTGGGCACTAAGTTACAGGTGGAAAGGAGCAGGAGTTAAGTAGAACTGGAAAGGCATAGGACTTCCCCACTAGGGTAGGACAGGCCTCCTGAGATAGCACTATCCCATTTCAACAGGCCTATGTACAGCATTTCTACAGCTGCTACTATATTCTGATAACTGGATAATGGAATATTATTTCCCAAAAACTAAAAGAAAGATTTCTGAGTATTCTCATCATGAAAACATAATAAATGTTTGAGGAGCTAGGTGTACTTATGCTGAGTTGAACCTAATATAAGCATGTGCCCAAACATCACATTGTACTTGTTTTAAAAAAAATCAAAAATAAAAAGAAGGCCGAAGAGATGGCCCCATGGTTGAGAGCAGAGCACACACTGCTCTGAGAGAAGACCTGGGTTCAGTTCCCAGCACCCATGATAGGCAACCCACAGATACCTGTAACTATAGCTCTCAGGAATCCAATGCCATCTCCTGGCCCCCAAGGGCATCTTCATTCACACAAAAAAACATACTCAAATATATATAATTAAAAAGTAAATCTTAAAAAAGGTAAAACAAAAACAAATGTTAAAAACACATAGATGAACTTGTCAGGTAATAATGAGATTTTATAAAGTCAGCTGTTTAGAAAATGTAATATTTGAAATGTATAGTTTGGTGTTTTGAAATAAAGGCTTTCTCCCATGTGATCTAACTATTGGCGTTTAATTAACCAAGAGCCCCAGAGTGAGAAAAGAGGAAAAACATTTTGGTTGTGAGCCTAGCCTTTAACGGCTGCGCCATCTCTCCAGCCCAAGAGGAAAAACATAATTAGAGGACAGAAATACCCGAGGTCTTTGTCCAGAGCAGAACTGCCATGGCTAGTGTCGGTTGTGATCTTGTGGTGTTAACTGGAGATGGAAATGTAATGGAATAACTAGAGAGACTTCGGCCTAGACTCCATGGCAACAGGCCATGCCTAGCAACCAGAGTCTCTACTTCAGCAACTACAGCATCGAACAGGTTTCTCTTTAAGTTCCTGCCTGACCAGTATAGTGGAGGAAGGTCATATTGCTTTTATCCAGGGAAAGGAGTTCTCTTGGGAGGAGAAGTGCTAATACACAATTGGCCTGCATTATTACACAATCAGAAGAATCCCATTGGGGTTATCAGTTCACAGCTCTTCCTTAGACAGTGCAGTCCCATTTAGACAGGCCCTTTAAGGCCTATCTGTCATGGGTCCACATGGAAGTTCAACGCAATAAAACACACATTCCAGTTTTCATTCTCTGAAGTGGATTTAAATGTCTGTTTAGATTTCAAAATGTCTGTCTTTAAAAATGTAAAAAGAAAACTTAGGTTGGGTGCAGATATTCTACTTAATGTAAGATTACAAAATTGCTGCTTTTCTGAAGTCATTTTAGAATGGGTTCAAGTTTTCTTTCACTTACAAAATTGAACATTTTTCTTCTCTTTGGAACAATGATGTCTTCTTTTCTTTATTCTTTTCCTTCATTTTTTGAGACACAGTTTTACTCTGTGGCTCAGACTTGCCTGGAACTCACTATGTAATGCAGGATGGCCCTGCACTCTGAGGATTTCACCGCACCTTCTCTGCAGTAGAAAACAATAAGACAATTAAAAGCCAGGAAAGGGGCAAGGATAGTTATTTTTTTCAAAGATAAACAAAAGCTCAACTGTCTAAGAAGATTCTCACTCAGCACAGGCGTTTTGTATTCTAAGCTTTGTGTTCCAAACCTGGCTGAGAATTGGCTGGAATGCCACCGTAAGAACACACTTCCAGGCAGATTGAGGTGATTTGTGATCCCTGGACCTCGCCCTTCGGGAAAGCATTCCTATAGGTGGTATGCTACAGGAGGTGTTATGATCAGCTGCGAAGATATATTCTTTAATCCTTTCTTCTAGAAACTTTGATACAGACTCCACCAGCACAGTGACTCTGAGATTTATATTTATATGCATGCATGTGTGTGTGTGTGTGCGTGCATGCATGCATGTGTGCATGTGTGACTGCAGATATACCACAGCATGTGTGTGTAGGTCAGAGAACAATGTTTTGTGTGTGTTTTTCCCTTCAGTCTTTCCTGTTGTTTACCATTGCTTACACAGGCTGGCTGGCATATGACCTTCCAGGGAGCCTCTGGTCTCTATGTTTCATTTCTCGTCAGGGACACTGGGACCACAGATGAATGCACACTGCCACTTCCTGCTCTTGTGTGAACTCTAGTGATCCACACTAAACTCCCTAGGCTCACCCAGCAAGGGCTTGAATTACTGAATGATCTCCCCAGGCTCTGGAGAAACCTTTAAGGATTAGAGAACTTGAAAGCCAAAGGCTTGAGAGCCACTGCTATAGCACATCATCTACCCTAAGAAGGCATGCTTTCACAGAAAGACAAGTCATGGGAATAATAGAGCACCTCCGTCCGCCTGGAAGTGTGTTCTTGTGGTTGCATTCCAGCTCATTCCCAGCAGGTCTGGAATACAAAGTTGAGAATACAAAACGGTCCTATGGAGGATCTTCTCAGCCACTTCTTGGGCTTTTATAAATCTACTTTGGAAAAAAAAAAAAAAAAAGCTGTTCAAGCCCCTTGTCTGATTTTTAGTCGGGTTACTGGGTTTTACAAGTGTAATAATCAAGATTCTGCCCGAGAGGTTCAGAACCCAGTAGTGGTTCAGGACAGGAGGCTGGGTGCCTCAGCAGTCCCAAAACCTGGAGAGTTCCTGGAGAGCCCCTCACGGAAGCCTGGAAAGGTGATTCTAATTTCAGGGAAGCCATCAGCAGCCGCAACAGGACAAATAAATTCAGTAGCAAAGGGGAGCCTAGGCGTTAACTAGAGCAATCTCCCTCTGCCAGGCCCCTTTATAATCTGGCTGCTACCAAAGGGTGGCACCATAAGGGTGGGTCTTTTACATCCATGAAGGCAAACCAGAACAATTCCTCAGGTGAAGCTCCCTACTCACCGATTCTAATTTGTGGCAAGTCTGTATTAAGACCAACCATCCCTCGTGGGGAACTTCAGTGTATATTTCGGATGAGGACTCTTATCAATTCACAGTTGGCAAATATTTGCTTCTGAATTGTAGGTCTGCACTCAGAAGCATGAAGCTGCGGCCTCCAGCTTCGGCTGACTGTCTGTCTCACTGCACAGCATCGGTTTTTGTCTGTTGCAGTCCCACATGACTCTCCAGCTTACCATAGCCCTGCCTGTCCTTTGGGGGCCTTTGCAGCCTGTGATCTGGGTGTGAAGTCCAGTAAATAAGTCACTGCCAAGGTAAATGATAGGAAGCTTCACCTGTTTTCTCCTCAGAGTTTTTATAGTTGGCGGTCTTCAGTCAATGTTTCATTGATTTTTTTTAATAGTGTAGGACTGTGGTGATATTTTATTTGTATGTTAATAAATAAAGTTTATCTGGAGATCAGAGGTCACAGCGTGCCATAAAACAGGAGTCAGGTGGTAGTAGCACATGCCCTTAATCCAATCACATGGCAGGCAGAGTATCTGTGTGGTCAAGGACACAGCCAAGCGTGGTGGCACACACCTTTAATCCCAATATCAACCATAGAGACTTGGAGGTCTGTATAGACAAGCAGTGACAAGAAAGTGTTGTGGCTGGGCTTAGAGACAATGAGAAGGCAGAACAGGAAGGCAATAAAAGCACAGGTTAGAGAGGAAGAAGCTCTCTCTAAGGAAGCTACAGCGTTGTGGTTAAGTTAAGGCTAGTCAGTGGCTCTTCGCTATTTCTCTGATCTCTTTGGCTATTACCCCTCTATTTGGCTCTGTATTTCTTATTTAATAAGACTGTTTAGAAATTTGTCTACATAGGACAAATGTTAGCTTTCATTTTTTGCATGCTGATATCCAATTGCCCACACCAGTCAACAAGGACAGCATTCTCTTAACATCAGATGTTCCCAGCATCCTGTTGGTGATGTATATTAGGATTCTCTCTGGCCTCTCTTTTTTATTCCATTGGCCCATGTATGTTCTATTATTCTGTGACCACAAGTTTTCAGTCACTCTAGCATTGCAACATACTCTGGAATCAAAGTGCATAATGTCATCAGATCTCAGAAGTCATGTGCATGGAAGAGAAGACACTGTGTTTAAACATCCTTATTACCCAAGCTGACATATAGATTCAATGCTGTTCCCAACAAACATCTACACTATTTTTAGAGAAATAACAAAAACTCTGAAATTCATATGGGGTCCCTGTAGCAGCTCTGGTATCTGGGGAAGGCCCTCTTCTTCTCTGTCTAACCAGATCTTGGCCATTCTTTGAAAAAAGTTTTAGGCATTCTTTAAAAAGATGGGTTTTTTTTTCAGACTATTATTTATTATTTGACCTTTTCATACATATATACAATGCATTTTGATTGGAACCATCCCTAACTCTCCCTCCCTACCCCCTGACACCCCCAACATGTCCCCTTCCCACACTCATGTCCTTTCCATTATAGTTCTGTAATCCACTTAATCAGGCTAGTTCTACCTATTGACTGATCTCATTGGCTTGACCATGTGCAAGGTAACTATATGAACAATGAATTCATGAGTATTATGGCCCTGTCATGTCCAAAAAACAACATTTAAAAAGTTATTTTATTAACTCATTGACTATCCTGAAATCAAAGATCTTTGCCTACTGAATATTGCTTATGATTTTACTAATACAATGTCTCAAAAAAACTAAATTTACTTAAAATTTCAATTATTTATTGTCATGTTCTCTGTGGTGTCTGGAGACTAAGGGTCCATCTTTATTGTCCAGACACTAAAGAAACCTCTAGTATAGTGGTCTTTGAGTGGAAACTGGAATAAACTTCACTAAAGCCACCGATGAATGCTCTCAGCCACCACAGAAGGTCATCCATCACAGTGGGCTAGAAGCCTCAGAGGACTGACTAACGTGACGGCTCTCACTTTTATCTTGTGATCCACAATGATTTACACCCATGACTTAAGACAATTCATGTTAACTTCTCAATGTACAAAGGGGGCACCAGTTTCATGAACTGCTGTAATTTATACTGGCCAGCAAAATCTAGAATGCATGGTGGGGGTGAAATACTTCTGATAAAGGATATTGAATGCTCCACCCAACCTCCTCTCCACAGGGAGGAAGAGAGTTACCCCTCAGAGCACTCCACTCAATCATTAATACAGTCAGGTTTTCTGTGGCCAATGCCATCGGCCTTCTTCGAGAACGAGGGACAGAGGTCATAGCATGGTCACTGAGGTTTGCTTCTTTTCAGTTAGAACTCTGTATCTGGAGTTGAGCTCTCTTTTCTCACCACCATGGGAAGCACATCCATGGCCAGAGCCTGACAGCGTTGCTGCTTCAGCAGGCTTGGCGTCTGACTTCATCACAAACCTTCTTGCCTCAGAGGAATAGATGGCACAAGCGTAAGACCCCAGGAGGAGCTGTGGGTCCTGGTTCCCATGGAAACTCAGAACACCACAAACACTCAGACTTCTCTGTGGTGTTAGAGCTGCTTTCATGGATGGGCGGCATAGCTAATGGAATAAATGAATCACTTCAGTGGTCCAAAGACACAGGATGTGAGGAAGATGGTGCTTTTGCTGGGCGTGCCAGCGTCTGCACATCTGGGCGTGCCAGCATCTGCACATCTGGAACTTATATGCTGGGACACTTTGGTGTCTCTGTAGAGCAAGGACAGTGAACAAAGACTTCGAAGGTTTAAATCCACGTGGGCTTCATCTTCTGGGTGAAAAGAATGTGGGGTACAGAAAGAAGGGCTGGTACAATTCCTGGGGTGCCAGGCTCTGCCCTGGATGAACAAGAGAACCATAGCAGTGTCCTGACAACCCCCCATGACCTCTGGACTTTGGGGTCTCTGTATTCTCACTGGCTATAGCCCCAAACAGGTCAAGTTCTGATGGATGTGGAATCTGAAGATTGTGATGTGTGAGTTATAGCTATAAGTCGCCAGCAGTGTTTGTCATGTCCAGAAAGGGACTGTTCCTGTCAGGTGGGGCAGGATGGAAGGGTGAGAGGTGAGCACTTGTGACAAAGAGCTGGGCCAGGAAAGGCTTAAGCAGTCTTCACAAAGTGAGACTATTTTCAATGACAACATACAAGTTGTTTTGCAGAAAATCAAAACACAGTTCCATCAATGGAGAAAATAATGTATTGTTTGATGTTTTCAAAACTGGAGGCGGTGGTTTCACCTCGCACCACAGAAGCTGTCCGGGGTCTTGGCATGGGGACCACTCCACATGCTTCAAGGACTTCTGTCCCTTTGCTCCAGAAGCTGGGGAGATGAGTCTGTAGGCTCCAACAGCCCTGGATGAGGACATGAAGAAAATGAAAGAGGAAAACTGGCCCAGAACAGATGCAAACATGCCTGTTTCTCTATTTCAGATGCCTAAAGTCTTTGACTTTTGCATGGAGAGAAGGCTTGATGATGTTTATGCTGTTGATGGAATGAGACTACAGACTGTACTCAGGACCATCACAACACCAGGCACATACATCTGTGTGTGGCTCTGTGCAGGCCTGATGGGTGGGACAGGCTGCTTGCCACCAAGGAGAGAGAATATGGAAGCCCTGGGGAGTCTGAGCAAGACATCAGAAGTCACACAGCAACAGCCACAACCAGCGCTGTCACCTTACCAAGTTTCCCTCCCATGGATTTAAGGTAATTAAAAGAAATCTTGTTTCAAATATTTAAAATGTTTTACAGAATGATTTGGTTTTGTAGGAAATGTCCTGTGTGATTTGTATCATCACAGTAAAAACCATAATCGATGTGCTCATCATCTAAGCCACTGCTGTGAGCATGGCAGACCCTTATGAAGCCCTGTACAGGGAGGACACAGGGAAGCCATTTTGTCCCATTTATAAGACACAGTGAGAGAGCGCCTCATGCAGGATCACTGGGGTCACTCTTCAGAGGATTTGACTAAGGATTTTCATCTCTGTGTCATTTCATATCCATACCTGATGGGATGTGCTGTGATCCAATAAGCTTTCAAAAAGGAAAACCCATGACTGTGGAAGACATCCCAGTGCATTCTGTCTGTGAATGTGCAACAGTTCAAATCACATGATGCAGAGCAGGAGACGGCAGTGAGAGACATGAAGCTGTGCTGTCTTGGCATGTAATTGTGCCATATCAACAGAAATGAAGCAAAACATTGTAGCCAGAATTTAGACATTTTACATAAATTAACAGGCTGCTTTGAATTCCCTGAGATGGTCCATGTCCTGAACTATCTATTGTCTGTATTAGTGTCAAAACAAATGATCCAGACACAATCTAGTATGTAAGATTTTGGATACTATATCGTGTGACTTTTCCTAATCAACAAATGACTGAGTACAGATAAGGCACTGAAGATAGACTGGGGGCGGGGGAGTCCACTCAAGTCTAGCCTGTGAAGCAATGGGTTTATTGGAGTTACTTACAAGAACCAATGCATTGGAGAAGCTGGATTTCTCCAGAAGGATCTGTGATGAAGGGCCAGTCTCAGACAGGGAAGACTCCCCTTCTGTGGGCTTGCCTGATCACAATGGTGGCCCTTCCACAAGAGGACAGCATTGGGTCACCTTTGCCGCTAATTTACCCCTAAGTAGTTGCATCAGTAAGATTAAAGATTTCCAGGCCAAGAAAAGAAACTTTTGTAGAAAACTGTAATTAATATATTTGAAGAGTGGATGACAGGCTTGAAGATTCTTAGCCTCATTTATTGTCTGTCTTCTTCTGAAAGGTAACTGTTTGGGGTTACATCAGGACTGAGTTGCACCTAAATCCTGGCCCCACATGTTTATATATATATATATATATATTGATCTATTATTCTACAGGAAACCCAGGAAGTGAGAGATGAACAGTGAGAAAGTTGCTAGAATCCAGGTCAGTGGAAATAAATGGTTCTGAGTGACATGATACCGTTTCTCGTCATGCAAATCATGTCCCACTGCCTGATCCTGGGTTACTGTCTCCCAGCGGAAGCTGGCTGTGTAAGAGTCAAGCAGATTCTTTGCTGCTCTTTTCCCAGTGTGCAAACAGAGGGTTCTCAAATCAGAGAGCACTAAGATCCCCCACAAACAAAGAGGCTCTCCAGGCCAAACAGAGTACATGTAACATTCCTCAGGCAGTGGGACTGGGTTGAGAGCACATCCCGCAGAGAGAAAGCTATAGCAAGTCTGTTTGTTTGTTTGGTTTTTGGTTTTTCAAGACAGTGTTTCTCTGTGCAGCTTTGGCTCCTTTCCTGGAACTCCCTCTGCAGACCAGGCTGGCCTCAAACTCACAGAGATCTGCCTGCCTCTGCCTCCTGAGTGCTGGGATTGCCGCCGCCGCCGCCGCCACCACCACCACCACCACCACCACCACCACCCCGCTCTTTTTTGGCGGGGGGCGGGGGTTGTTCTGTAACCAGTCTTAATGAGTGAAGCCCTCTCATCAGCTACCATGTTCTGTAGGACAGGATCCCTTTAGCTGCCAGTCAGCACAGGGTGCATCCATCAATGCAGGCCACTTTGAATGCCTCTTCCTCGGGCAACTGGGAATCACTTTAAGCCGCGCTGCCTAGTCCTCTCTGGAAAGACCCACTAAAGGTAGGTGGCACCTTCTGGTGGCAGCACAGATAAAGACAAGCAAGAGGAAAGGTTTTGGTTTCGCCTGCTTGCCTTCACTCTCGCTGCTAAGGTCGTCTGTTTTGCTGTTGCTTGGGCCGTTGCTGCTGGTGCTGCGGCTCCCACTGTACTGTGTCACCGATTTTAGAACCCAGCTACAAGCTTCCAACGTGAACTGATGACCTGTGGCCTTCCAGGATTTCTCCGGTCCTCCACTGCCAAATAGGGACTGCTGAGACATCCAGCCTTGTGGACTGAGAAACTGCTAGGTTCTTGGCCCCTTTGGTGAGAGGCAGTGACTATATATTATCCAGATCTACTTGTATAAACCAACATAATAAATCCCCTTTTATGTGTATTCTTGCTGTTGGTCTCTTTCTCTAAAGAGCCCTAATACACCCTTCAATCCCGCTGGTGACTGCTGACTCCAGACTCCAGCCTACAAGAGAAACCTGAAGGCCAAGACTTGGGAGAAATTATGAGGCTATTGGTAAGGGAAATCCCCTTAAAGCCAAGACCATAAAACATGTTCAAAGCTCCGGGAAATCTAATGTCCATAGAATGTCCAGAGGTCCACGAAAAAGCCGCTCACCTATCTACCAACCCACAGTTCTGAAAAACAACTTCTCTAGAGAAATAACTCACTTCCCCATTCTGTCACTGGTGAAACTCTGCTCCCCTACTCCCCTACTCATTCCTACAAAAACCCTGCTGAGACCCTGCACTGTGCACTCTGCTCTAGCCTGGGTCATGGCGCCCCCTTGGACTAATGAAGTCTACTGTGCCATGAAGATCTTTCTATATTCCATGTTTTGATCCACTTCCTGAACTCAGTTCCCACCACTGCCGTTCTTCCAACCATAGAAGCTGGACAGACGAGAAATGCTCCCTGCCACAGGTGGTGTTCATGTCCTTGGTGTGGGTGGACACAGTCCATGCCCCTTACTTGGCATTCTGCATGGATTCATCTTTGTGTGTATATACATTTGTTTTGCTTTGACCAATGGAATTAAAAAGAAACAACAGCAAAACCCAAGGACCCACTGGCCAGTGTGCATCTTCTTGCAGTGTGAAGGTAACGCTGTAGCATCAAGGAGTCACAATAAATACCTGCTAAAATAAGCTTAACTGACCACCTGACTGTCCAAATGAAGAACAGAAAATTCGTAGTTGTTACAGTGTTACCGAAGATGCCCTAACATGGAGTGTGATTGTTGCATCAGTTACATTTTGCACTGCTGGAACAAAAACAAACAAACCAAGGAACAAACAAACAAAAAATCTTGAGGAGGGATGTACTTTGGCTCACAGTTTGAGGATACAGACCATTACCATGGAGACAAGAAGCAAGAGGCAGCTGGTCACATTGTATCCTCAGTCAGGAAGCAGAGGAAGATGGATGCTGGTGCTCAGCTTACCTCCTTTTGATTCAGCCTGGGACCCCAGACCATGAAATGGGGCCACTCATAGTTAGAGTGGGCCTTTCTAATCTTTTGATCCAATTTAGGAGCCCTCATGTGTGGAGATTAATCTTTCCAATGTCAATTGGTCCTAGGGTAGAGAGTATGAAATGCTGACATGTGCTGCCCATGCTGGGTCAAACATTAACCAACATCCCTTGAGAACCTGCAGGTGTCAGCCCCCCCACCAACAATGCAGTTGTAAAACAAAGGAATTCTGTGTTTGTGATGGACGCTTTGGGGTGAAACGGGAGAAGGCACACCACCTTTTCACACACATAGCAAATGGGTTCTGCAGTCAATTTCCTTGGAAAATAAGCAACATGCATTTCTAGAAGCATCGTTAACTCTACCTTCTCCATCTAGCTTGCCAGGTACTCTTGATGTGAAATCATGGTCTCTGAACCTGACTGTGGCTTTCACCAAGAAGGAGCTCAGTGGAAACCCAGAACTCCCAGCCCCATCTTGAAGAGCAGAATGTAAATGGAAATGCCACACAGTACTCTGTGTGATCTGAGCAGCTTAATTTGATTGTGATTTTAATATGACTCCAAATTTCCTTTGGTATTTATTTGATCTCATATTCATAAAAGTCGATGAAGGAAAATGGATTCCCTTTGAACCTAAAAGTTAAGGAATATTTGAAACTCTATGATATCTGTCAGGTAAGCATAAAACTACTATTAATCAAGTACAATAAAAACAACAGCAAAATGTGTTCTTTGTTGTGCTAATATAGAGCTCAATCGCCTTGAAGAGTCTTCCCAGCATGCAAGAGCAAAAATTAATATTGTCTTTTCAATACATGCTGACTGCATTGAGCAAAGGGTTCCTTTTAGCACACATTCCTTCACTTTCTGCAAGGGTCCTATTTAGTCTGGAGCTCTGTGGCTCCTGGCTTGGACCCTCCTTCTTGCTAGGACACTCGCTATCTGCCAGGACTTTGGTTCAGCCTAGGAGGCCCTGTGTGATGGAGAAAGGGACTTAGATGGCTCTGGGGTACCCAGAGGTATTCTCTCAGAACCAAGCACATGAGCTGGAAAGGAGGTTCAGCTAGACGAGAGAACCCTTCTCGAAGGCTGTAGGTGTGAGGACGTGCTCTTGTGGGGATGTGTGTGAGGCCAGAGTTGACCTTGGGGTACTGCTCTTCAGGGACTGTCCACCTTGTTTCTGTAGACAGGCATTGTTGCTGGAAGCTCTGCTTTCTGATCCACAGGCAGGCAGGGAGAGACACTGGGCCTGGCGTGGGTTTTTAAAAACTCAAAGCCTGCTCGCAGTGACACACCTCCTCAAACTGTTCAGCAGCTGGGGGTGAAGCATGCAAATATATGAGCCTATGAGTGACGCTGTCATTCAAACCACCACACCATCTCAAGGCAAAGATTGTCTTCACAAAGACCAGCTGCCCATTCACAGGCGAAGTGTTCAGTATGTGATTGTACAGTTATGTGGAAACAGGTCTGAGAAGTAATAAAATAACCACCAGCCCTTCCTGAAAGGCACAAGACAAGCACAGATAGGCGACCCTAGACTGCATGGCTGGGAGTTAAGTTCTGTGCAGCATCTACACCTAAACCATACCTTGGAGTCAGGA